TGAAAGATGCGTCTTTCTATTCCCCAGATGCTCAACCAAAGAAGTGGCCAAACTCCATCAGCCCAGCGAGCTACCTGCTCTGCCCATTATTTAGAGCCCTAATTACTCTCCATCGACTGAGAAACAGCAAACGGACAAAGGGCGATGAAAAGTTCACACACAATTGAATTTCGCAGTAACAATCAGCAGTGAAAGCGTGCACAAGGGGAGGAAGGAAGGGGGCCGAAAAATCAATCATGGCAAAGGAGCTGGCTTTGGACAGACACATCTGTTGCACCTGCCAAGCTTCGAGCATGAGGGACTTGCACCCGTCGTGCATGAAGGGGGCTGATCACTGGTTCTCCCCCACCTCACTGCACCCCAGCTGCCCTGCCAAATCTGCCAAATCTCCCATGCAGGAGAGAAACTGCTTGATGTCTTCGGTGACATGCGTGGGTGCAATCAGCAAGACATTGCAGAAGCCCAGATTCTGAAGCCATGAGCTCCACATGCTAGGGATAGAGAAGGGTGCAGGAGCCAATTGGTTCTTTGGCTCAGCTGACTTGCTAATGCCTCCCTAGCAGACTCTGGGCACTCAACTCTTTTTTTTTTTTAAAGAAAGTATTGCTTTGTGTAATTTTTTTTAAACAAGTGACACAAAAGAGCCCCATCTCCTGCCTAGTGTGCTAGAGCAGTTTAGGAAGAATATGCCTCTTTCTGTTGCCTTAGAAACCCAGCTGGTGATTCTGCAACTAAATGAGGATTTCAGGTTACAAACTCCTTTGTCTTTTTAATCTCTTCCAATTGTCTGCCACCAATGAGTCAGGTGTTGCCATTAAAAAAAGGGGTGGTGGTGGGTGGGGGGGACAGAGGAGGCCTCTAATCAGGATAAAGAATTGGTATAGAGAGGAAAGCCCTAGAGAAGAAAGTGAGTGCAAAACTTTTGATTTCCAGATCATTAGTTCTGCAAGGTAATAATTCAGCCAAACTTGTTTGCAGCTGGAATGGATAAAGTGGGTATCAGCTGGAACAACAGTCTTTGAGCCATGATATAGTGCCTAACATCCTCCTGCAAGAGCCAGATCCACATGTTCTAGAAACAGCATTGTGAACTTCTAGAATTCTCTAAATTGACAATGGCTGGAAATGGGGACTAGATGGAATCTAATTTATTTATTTATTTATTTATTTATCATCAGATTTATATACCGCCCTTCTCCTGGAGGACTCAGGGCAGTGCACAGCCAAAGTAAAAACATAAATACAAACATTAAAATACAGTTAAAAATATATATATGTGTTTGGCCCCATAATTAAAAAACAATAACAAACCTATTAAAAACATTTAAAAATGTGTTAAGCCAGCCCGGCTTGCTGAAAAAGAAAGGTCTTCAGGGCACAGCGGAAGGCACCGAGGTCTTGGATTCTTTGTATCTCTGGGGGCAGTTGATTCCAGAGGGCAGGTGCCCCCCACAGAGAAGGCCCTCCCCCTGGGGGCCACCAGTCTACATTGTTTGGCCGATGGCACCCTGAGGAGGCCCTCTCTGTGGGAGCGCACAGGTCAGTGGGAGGCCATTGGTGGCAGTAGGCAGTCTCGAAGATATCCAGGTCCTATGCCATGGAGCGCTTTAAAGGTGATAACCAACACCTTGAAGCACACCCGGAAAACCACTGGGAGCCAGTGCAGCTCACGCAGGAGAGGTGTTATGTGGGAGCGCCATGCAGCTCCCGTAACTACCCGCGTGGCCACATTCTGGACCAGCTGGAGTCTCTGGGTGCTTTTCAAGGGGAGCCCCATGTAGAGAGCATTGCCGTAGTCCAGGCGAGAGGTGACGAGGGCATGAGTGACTGTGTACAAGGAATCCCGATCTAGGAAGGGCCGCAACTGGCGGATCAGGCGAACCTGATAAAAAGTCCCCCTGGCTACAGCCGTCAGATGTTCCTCCAAGGACAGCTGCGTATCCAGGAGGACGCCCCAGTTGTGAGCTCTCTCCGTGGGGGCCAAGGACTTGCCCCCAATAGTCAGTGATGGAGTCAACTGACTATATCGGGATGCCGGAAACGACAGCCACTCAGTCTTGGATGGGTTGAGCCTGAGCCTGTTCCTCCCCATCCAGATCTGCACGGCCTCCAGGCACCTAATGATACCTTGAAGCTTGGTTGCCTAGCTTTCAAATGATTCAGACCAGTGTTTCTTAACTTTACTGTAGGAGTAGAGCAAGCTGAGCTGGAAGGTAGAGTTAAACATGTCATCAGTTTGGAGTCATTACATTGCCACAAAAGACCAAAGTTCAGCCTCATCCCCCACTCATCCGAATTCTGTTGACTCTTATCAAGTGTCAATTTAGCTTTGACTGTTAGTTGACTAGATTCTTGTGTATTGGTAGCAATAATAAACTCTTCTGCGCTTTGAACTCCACAAATATTCTTGGTTATTTGCATTTGAAACTTAGTGACTTTAAGCTAACAGAATAACAGAGTTGGAAGGGACCTTGGAGGTCTTCTAGTCCAATCCACTACTCAAGCAGGAAACCTTATACTGTTTCAGACAAATGGCTATCCAATGTCTTCTTACAAACCTCCAGTGATGGAGAACCCACAACCTCTGGAGACAAGCTATTCCACTGGTTAATTGTTCTCACTTTCAGGAAAGTTCTCCTTAATTCTAGGTGGTTTTCTCCTTGATTAGTTTCTATTCATTGCTTCTTGTCCTGCCTTCTAGTGCTTTGGAGACCAGGCTGACTCCCTCTTCTTTGTGTCAGCACCTCATATATTGGAACACCACTAGTCCTTCTTTTCATTAAACTAGACATACCCAGTTCCTGCAACTGTTCTTCATATGTTTTAGCTTCCAGTCTCCTAATCATCTTCGTTGCTCTTCTCTGCACTCTTTCTAGAGTCTCAATGTGTTTTTTCTAAAATTCTGCTGGCTGGGGAATTCTGAGAGTTGAAGTCCACACCTCTTTAAATCACTAAAGGTGAGAAACACTGATTCAGACTGTTATTTCTGAACACTTGGTTCTACTTGCAAACATAACTATGGAGGTGCCTTTTTTCCTCCTCTACTGAAGGAGACTTGTAATTTGACATTTAACTAGTGGCTCCTTTGGCTTTGACAATGTGCAACCTGCTTGGAAGGTGGGCAGCCGAAATAGGGTTATGAGAGCAGTTCTGGAAAAAAAAAATATCCAGCAATTTTCAGAGACAGCAGTGAGAGAAAGAAACCTGCCTATTCAGCTCTTATCTCTCTCCTCCCCCTCCCCTTCTTTCTTTCCGGTAGTTTTATTTCTAGCAATAAAAGCGAGAGGTTCTCTGATCCAGACCAGCTTGTTTTTTCTGGCATCTGAACATTGCCAAGGAAACTCTCCCCATATAAAATTAACTGCAGAAAGGCGAAGGAGGGAGGCGGAAGAAAAATCCTTCTGGGGTTTGGGGAGAAAACATTAACAATTCCCTGCTGCCCATGAAAATGAAATGCCATCAGGAAGAAGCTGCAAGACCAGAGAAAGATCTGCTGTCTTTTTTTCCATTGGACAGAAAATGCCCACCATCTAGTTTCTTCCTGACCTGGAGTTCTTCAGACATGGTTGAAATTACACACGATGCTCTTGGCTGTGGTGGAAAATAAATTGAAAACATCTGGAGGGCATCAGTTTCCCATTTGTCATTTGAGGGGATCATTTACAAAGTATCTGTGATATTTGTGGTTTATCCATCAGCCCCTCTCCTGATCTCACACAGACATGCACAAAACTCTTTAGGATGGTGGGTGGATGGGAGGAACTCTTTTCCTGCCTGCTGAAAGTTAAAAGAAATGGGATCAGAGCATTGCTAAATTACTTGTGTTTGGTAGATGTGGTTGACTAAATTTTCTGCTCCTCTGGGTAAGGGACTTATCCCCATACACCAATAGTGCCTGATTGCAAGCCACTTAGTTTGGAAAGCAGCTGTTCTCTGACTCCTGCCAGCTGTTGCAAAGGGCAATCAAGGAAGAATGTCCCTTCCTCTCTACCTATCCACTCCTATGAAGGGGGTATAGGGCAGTGGTGAAATCCATTTTTTTTACTACTAGTTCTGTGGGCGTGGCTTAGTGGGCATAGTGTGGCTTGGTGGGTGTGGCAGGGGAAGGATACTGCAAAATCTCCATTCCCACCCCACTCAAAGGGAAGGATACTACGAAATCGCCATTCCATTCCCACTCCTGGGAGAAGGATATTGCAAAATCTCCGAACTATTGAAAAATTCCGTTACCAGTTCTCCAAAACCTGTCGGCACCTGCTGGATTTCACCTCTGGTATAGGGACAGAAGGAGACAGGGACAGAATACCCAAAGAATTCCCATTTTCACAGCTTCATTGTTGCTGTCAGGTGCAAAAGATCAGATCCACACATGAAGGTCTAATTAAACTGATTTATTGCTAAATAGCCTATGCGCAGAAATCAACTCAACTAACTGTTAGAACCTGCTTGGAGTTAGATAAGGGTCCACAGAATTCAAGAAGTGGGGATTGGATTAATCTACTTGTGGCTGTAGAAGGTTTCTAGGCTGATCCCTTTTTAACTCCACCCCCAGGTTCTGCCACTTTCTCCTATGGTTCCTATTTTACAAGCAAGAAGGGAAAATCGATGCCTGCAGCTTTAGTAAACAGTTTGTGAAATATGGTTGACCAGAGAAAATAAATTTAGCCCCAAACACCTCTGGATGTGCTAAAACTATTCCCTTCATGATTAGTTGCTGGAATTCATTGAGTTGGGATTGATCTCCTGCTGAGCTTGTTGTGTGGACAGGGCCACCAAACTTTAGCAAGAGACTTTGGGAAAGCATCTAACCTAGGTTCCTTGAGATTGCTCCTTCTATCCTTAATATGGAATATACTGAAATTTCTAAGAATTGCTGCCCTCCCCATTTCTGTTATGAGGACCTTTTTTTGTGGCTTCCCTGGGACTGGAACAATATATACACTGTCGCTCCTTTTTGACAGAAAAGAAAGCAATACAACTTCACATTCTTAAGCACTTACCATCTTCCACTTCCAGGAGAGCTTTGGCAAGGATGCTTCCTGCAACGCTAATGGCCTGGCACATGTAGTAGCCTGAATCTGAGGTCTGCACATCCATAATTGTCATCTCGCCACTTGGAGCTACAGAAAAGCGGCCAGTAGCTTGAGGGGGCTGGCTAGGAAAAAGAAGAACCTGTACAAAGGAGCAGAAAGAGGAAGATACCACATGAGGGCTTGGAGCTATCACAGAATTCCAATATAACTTTCTTTTTTTTTATGTATTTAATTTACATCCACTTTTATTATTTATCAATAACTCAAGGCAGCAAATATGTTCAACACACTTTCCTCCTCCTATTTTCCCCACAACAATCATGTGAGGTTGGTTGGGCTGAGAGAGACTTTCTTTTAAGCTTTTAAACTTTTTTTTAAACTTTCTTTTAACATCCTTCATATGCTAATCCATCCTCTACTGAGACTGTTATGGGATCCACAAGAAATGAGAAAACCAACTCAAGAAGTACTGAAAAAATTGCATTTTAACTGGTTTTTGACAATGGACATCCGTCTGAGACTTGTTCTTATTTGGGAATTATAGGAGGCTGCTGAAAATTGAATTCCTACAACATTTCCCCCTCTCTGGAATAGACCAGAATTATCACTTTTAAATAAACCATAGACATACAGGAAACCGTATTATGTTTCAAAGGTAGTTTTAGAACAAATCTAAAACTATGGGACAATCTTCACTTGTTCTCATTGCCTCTCTTTTAACAAATCAGTTTCTTGAGAATGGAAGCTACAAGGAGGTGTAGATTGTTTCAAACTGGAAAAGTTTTACAACTTCTTTGGAGACATAAAGACTGAGACAAGAGTTTTTGAGGTTAAGACTCACTATGCCTCATTCCTGAGGTAGGGAATCATGGCTCCCTAATATGTCTCAAGTGCTCTACAATGCTTAGGCATGCGACACAGCCTTTATTATTCTCCTCCACTCACACTGTTGCCTACACAGAGCAAACAGTCCTAAACATGCCAAGTTAGACAATTTTCCAGACAAATTGCCTGCCTTCAGAGGCTTACCATTAATGATCCCTCTATCAAACTACCTGGTTTTGACCTGCCTTGCTCTGTCTGGATGAAATTTAAGAGAATTAGGTGTGATACTGGAAAAAGTGCCTCTGCCCTGTATCAACGGGGATGGAAAGATTGCCCTTGTTGCGATTGTGGTGCTGATATGCGAACTATTAAACATATTGTGCAAAATTGCCCATGATGTGCGTTCTCTGGTTCCCTAGAAGGTCTGCACGAAGGAACACCAGAGGCGATCACCTGGGTAGCTGAATTGGACATCCAGTTATGAGCCATACCCCCATTAGAAGTTTTTGTATATATTTACGTAGATTGTGTGTATCTGTTTGCTTCTCTTCTGTCATGTTCTGATCACATGCTAAATAATAAACAATGAGGCTTCTCAACTGTGTCTGCTCCCATTACTTAGAGAAGAGCTAAGCCCCACCCATTCTTTACATGGGGCAGAAAAAGAGTTCATGTGATCTATTTTCTGTCAGGGATTCTAACTCTGAATTCATCAAATGATCTCCAAACCCCGCAAAGAAATCCCCCGCATGCTAAAATGCTATAATTCTGTGAATTTGACATCTGCTTCACTGAATTAAGTTCAGCCCTTGCTTTAGAGCAAATGATTCACTCCCTTCCCCCTTCCTTTCTATCACCGACCCTCTTAGGATGCAAGTAATTGACACAGTAATAGCTCAGTGCTATTTAAAGGCAACTTAGAAACTCCAATTGTTCATTCCAAGAGACTGGGTCTCCCAAGAGGCGTCTCATCCCATACATCTGGATGACACGAGCAGCTTTGGCTTGTAAGGCAAAATCTTAGCTCCTCTTGGCAGCTCAACAGAAGAAACACCATTCTAGGAATTATTAAGCATTTCTTCTCAAATATTTTACCTAAAATCTGGGAGGTATCAATCCATGCAAAAGTTGTTGAAATAAGAAAACTGTGACACCACCTTTTTACCAAAATAAAAAGGCTGCAGCAGCTATTATGATGTCCTGTAAACTCCTATGGCTAAATAATCTATATTTTGAAAAGCTGAATTATCATTTTGCCCTGTTTTCTAATATAATACATAGCTTGATGACCTGCGAATCAGTAAGCAAATTCACCAAGAACGCACCTGCATAAGACAATGCTGTTTACATCTCTGAACTATTATTGTCAACAATCTGGATGTCAAAAGAAAAACATTCAAATCCTTTTTAAAAAAAGGAATAAGTAAAAGATCGTAGACTAGGTTGTGACGTGGTCTATTGACATGGGTTTGCGATTCCCAATGTTTTTATGCAGCAAGTACAATTACAAGCATCCGCTGCAGATGTAATTTGTGACAAACTATACATGTTAAATACAACCATGATGTAATGTATTGCCTAATCTGGTCCTGGGGTGAAGACTGTTTCTATAACTTATTTTATAGGATATCCCAGTATATGGCTCAAGATATACTGGAAGTAAATGGTTTTGGCCTAAACCACCCCACGTTCCTCTGTTTTACACTAATGAAAGTTGAGATTCTAGACCATGGGTGTCAAACTTGCAGTGTCACGTTGCCATCATGTGACATTTCACTATGTTTTTTCCCTTCCTGGAGCTGGGGTGTGCATGGCCTGAGCATGATGCATCCAGCTTGCGGGCTGCCAGTTTGACACCCCTGTCTAGACCACATAGATCCTATAACCTAGAGTAGGTACTTTTGCTGTGAGAATTCTTTTTTTTTTCAGCCTACAAAACACTTCTATAATCCATAGGTCAAGGGTTCCCAACCCCCCAGGCTGGAGCCTGTTCGAAACCAGGCCACAGGAGAGATGGGCAAGCACGCGTGCGTGAAGTTCCACTTGTGTAAGTAGAAGGCACTTGTGTGTGAAGCTTCATTCACGCAAATGGAACTTCGTGTGCAAGCATAAGTGTCCTTCGCTCGCGCAAGCGGAGCCTCAGGCGTGAGTACAAGCACCCTCCGCTGAAGTGCCCTCATGCGCAAGCACAAGCACTCTCTGCTCTGACACGAAGCTCCATTTGTGTGAGCGGAGGGCACGCCTGCACCCACTGCTTGCACAAATAAAACTGTGTATATGCACATGCACCTGCCACTCACATGCCCGTCCCCCAAACTGGAAAAGTTGGGGGTGGCTGCCATAGATCATGTAAATACAATCTTCAATGTCTGCATTTCCATAAAGATGCAAACACCAGCTACCCAAGCTCTTCCCGTAATGGGAAATTACTGCTGACTTTAAGAGTCAAGACAAGAAATCATTTCTTGCTCAAGGACCATCTTCGTCAGGAACATCCTCTCATGCATCGATGCTGGCCAATAGTAGAGTGAGAGACGAAATCTGATCAGTTTGCAACCCTGCAGGAATTCCTAACACTTTAGCATTCCCTCTTTCTCTCTCTAACACTCCATCTCTGTTGGCAGCATGAGACTGGGGAAAATATGACATTAAGCCAAGAACCGACTCTAGTACTTTTCGCACTGTACTTGTGTCTTAATTCTGTACAAAAGTCTATCTTTGGCCATGGAAGTTCATTGGATAACTTGAGGCTAGTTGTTATTTATCAGTCCAATTTAACCAATAGAGGAATTGTGAACTGAGAGAATTGATTGCTAACTTGAGCCACAGGGAGAAATGTAAGGAATAAATCTAATACACCCTTACAACCAGGAGGTTCTGAGTGGCTAAGTGATGGCCACAGTTTTAGTCATCCCACCTGCCGTAAGAGAAATGCCAGGATGTCATTTCCCACTCTATTTTCTGGCTTTTGTTTTTTTCAACCAGTTGTACTCAGGATCAGCACCCCCACAGATAGGGTTAGAAGATTATATGAACCTTTATTGCACCCCATGTAATCACAGGGGGATTAAAACTGAAAAACCACAGGAATCAATTGTCTACAGAGGTCCATTTTCATAAACTCTTTCTAGAATGTCAACTTGATCACAGGTATTAGAAGGGACATTTAACCTTCAGATAGTTTGCACTACCCTGGAAGCAGAGTTAGTTAACTGGGTGATTTAATTTACTCCCAAACCCCCCCCCCCCCAAAAAAAACTCAGTTGGGTCAATTAACTTCATTTTGAAGCTTGCACAACTCCGTCCCCCTCCCCCTCCCCGATCCTGTGGAATATGATGTGAGAATAGGGTCAAAATACAAGCTACATGCAGACTCCCTCACGCCTATGTACCCATGAACTTACCTGACTCCCTTCCTTCTGCCAGAACACAGCTGGTGGTGGGTTTCCTTTGGTCTCACACTGGAAGGTCACAGTGCGGCCTTGGGTCACAATCTGGTCCCGTGGACGGGTCACTAACTGAGGTGGGACTACAGACAAAAAAGAGGTGGAAAAAAAAGATTGTAAAATGGGTCAGTTAGACCAGTAGCATTTTAGCAATGTTTGCATTTAAAGGCTAACCAGGTAAAAAACCCTGAGGGATGGGTGGTGTGTGTGTCTGGGCGGGGGGGAATAAAGGAGAGAGGGAGCCTTTTTTTGTTTAGGAACATTAAAAGCTCCCTTATATCAAATCCAACCACTGGGTCATTGCTGACCTGCATGGATTTCCTTAATGTAGTCAACCTCCACCAAAAGTCCTCCAGATGTGCTGGAAGGACAACTCCAGAATTCTTCCAGAATTCTAGTCCCAATACAGTCCAATCCAGGCTGTAGCCTTTTCCAGTTCTATCAAGAAATGCTGAGAATTGAGCCTGGCCTTCATTTTTGGGACCCCTTGGCTTTACCACTTTTCCCATGGGAACTCAGTATTCTGAGACTGTATCCTGGCTAATCCCTCTCTCCATTTTGCCCATTCCTGATAATCCTAAAGGAGAAGGGTCAATGTCTTGGCAGTTCCCAAAATACCGGGAGCAGCTTCACAGTTTGGGCATCTCAGAAGAGCAGCTAAAGGCATTTACAAGGAAAGAAAAGGGGGTGATTCAAAGCATTGGGAGATGCCAAAGACACTTTAAAGGAGGGGAAAAGACACCAAACAAAGGCGAACAGTTTTTTTTTTTTAAGCGAGCCCTGCGGTTTTCTTTTTACAAAAACCATCCAATACGTGCATGCAAAGAATATCAATTTGCAATGGAAGAAGGCATTTAAGAAGTCTGAGGGAGGCCACGAAAGGAACAAGTCAGCTAAATCAACCACCCAACCATGAATAATGTCTCGGATGTAAATTCCTCTCTTTCTGAGCACTTCTGGCTTTTTGAAAACCTTCCCCCATCTCAGCTCTCAATGCAAGACAAATGACAGTCAGGTTTTACAAATGCTAATCACTTGCCTTATCACCTCTCCTCCCTTCCTTCTATTCTATCAAGAAAAAGAAGAAGAAGAAGACAGAATGTTCCTAGCCCCTCTTGCAGAACTGTAAAGCATTTACAGAGCATTAGGTGCTATTAAAACAACAACAACAATAACAACAACAACACTTTCAGGTATGCCATTGTTGGAGCTCTGCAAGCCTCTCCTTAATGAAGTTATAGATTGCTAGGTTAGCCACATGCTAATCAGGAGAGATGTATGAGCCTGAGAGAAACGGTGTGCTTGCTTGCTTTCCTCCTTGTCCACAGGCATCTTCCCTTGGATAACTTCCATAGAAAGAGAAGAGGAGGTGGGGGGGAAACCCTACTGATTGTTAATAGTTATTGATTGGCAGGAGAAATGTTTGGTTGGGAGGTACAATGGAATCCATGCAGATAGAATTTAAATGGGAAGTTAGTGCTGAATGACTACATGGCTGTCATCTTTTACACTGGCTCCCTTAAACTTTGTGTTGGGGTTGATACTAGGCAAGAAAAGAGAAGGGAAATTACTGTATTTCAGAAATAACGATGTAAGTGGGAGTAGGGCAAAGGCTGCCCAATCAAAGAAATGAGCATCTGAAGAAACACAGATGTCAGCTCATCCTATATTGAAATAATCTAGTGCAGGGGTGTCAAACTCGAGCCAGCAGACTAATGCTACTGTTAAAGGTAGCATTTAGCTTCCAGCTGCCTGCAATTACTGCGAGTTCAATTCTCACCAGGCTCAAGGTTGACTCAGCCTTCCATCCTTTCTGAGGTAAGTAAAATGAGGACCTGGTTTGTGGGGGCAATAAACTGACTTTGTATAAAATATACAAAAGTATGAAGGCTATTGCTTAACGCCTTGTAAGCCGCCCTGAGTCTACGGAGAAGGGTGGCATATAAATAAAAAAAAAAACAACACCTCGAGGCCTGAGGGCCGGATCCGGCCCACTGGGTACTTAGATCTGGCCCACAGAGCCGCCCTGGAAACAGCGAAGGACCAGCTCACAGTGCTTCTGCCAGCGAAAATGGGCTCCTGAGCTACTTTTCAGCTGCCACGGCCTCCTGCAACCCTCTGCCAGTGAAAATGGAGCTCTGTTTTCACTGGCAGAGGGTTGCAGGAGGCCATGGCAGTTGAAAACAGAGCTTGGGGGCCCATTTTCACTAGCAGAGTGCTCCGGCCCCCACAGGCATCCTGGACAGGAGTGATGTCGAACTGGCCATGCTCACCCTGCCCCCCCCAGCACCCCCCTCCCAGGTCAAACACAACCCTGATGCAGCCCTCAATGAAATTGAATTTGATACCCCTGATCTAGTGCAATTCTCTTTTGGAACACGTTTTGCCATTGTAGCCAGGTGGTTCGCAGAGATTTGGCCCTTAAAGCGTCCTGCTTTAAGTATCCTCTCCAAAAATCTTGCCTATTACTAATTTTGTTATTGTTACAGTCAAAGTAGGACTAGTTTTATGTTCTCATTCCCTGGTAGCCCCCATCAACATGGCCAATGGAAAGAAATTATGGGAATTCTAATTCAGCATAGACAAGATGACAATACTTTGCTTACTCTATATTAGAGAATATCAAGGGAAAATCTTATTTTTCTCTCCAGTCTCTAGGTAAAGCTAATAGCTGCAGTCGGAAACAGTTTGTTCCATCATCACGAACTAAATTTGATCTGATTTTAATTTAAACGGAATTAATTAAATACAATCCTGTTCAAACACTACATTTAACTGGGTCATGTTTGGTGTTAATGTGGAGTGCTTAGTGCTCTCTGAGCTTGTTGTTTTCTTGTAGACGTTTCATTAACCAACTAGGTAACATGATCAGATTATCATCATGAGAATCATTATATTGCCCACCTAATTGGGCAATGACATGTCTGCAAATAAACAATGTGGCTCAGAGAGCACCAAAGACTCCATAATTCAATGCTGAGCTATGAATATGGAGTTGTTTGGAGTTAAACCCACTTCCTTCAGTCATATGTAAAGTGGAAATGGGGACCTTTATTTTATCCTCTCTTCTACTTTTTCCAATCCCACGGTCCTATATATGTATGTGAGAGAGGGGGCAAGGCAGAAGGAGAGAGAGAGAGAGAGAGAGAGAGAGAGAGAGAGAGAGAGAGAGAGAAGGAGAGAGAGAGAGAGACAACACACTAATCATATTTTTCTTATTTTTCTTATTTATTTTTCTTATTTATTTTCTTATTCATATTTATCACCCACTCTTTTTTAAAAACAACAACAACATTAAAAATGCAATATTCCTCACTAATTGCCATTTGTTTTGACGTCTTATTCCACAAAACTGAGGCAGGAAAAATTATAGTTCGAAGATGCCCTTTTAAGGTTTTATGAGGGCCTGGAGGCACTCAGGTGTTTGGGATATTTCCTGTCTTGATTTTATCATCCTGACATCTGAATGCATCGAGGGATCATGGCAGGTAACCCAATCGTCCCTCAACCATCAAAAACCTGAAGTCAAATCCTACTGATGCAACAGTCTACAGTTTTACAACTTGAGCCTCTGGATTATATTTCGCTCTTTGGAGCATTGAGAAGCAGCCTCTTGTCTTGAGGATCGTAAATCTTGGAGGACAGGCTGGGTGGTAACACAAAAAATGCTCCAGCATTTCGTTGAAGGTCAGCCTTTGTCTCCACAACCAATGTTGAAGCAATCAGTGGGCAAGGATGTATTTGTGGAGCTAGATGGACCCTTTCCATTGGTAGCTCAAGAGTTCATCTGTTGGCACAGCAGAAATCAGCAGTTTCAGGATGTTGCACCCAGGGGTGGGTAACTGGTCAAGGGCCATTTGCTCCAACATGTGCCTGGATGGCACCTTTGACCTTTCAGAGCAAGAACTGGCTGGTGCCACCTGCTTTATAATCAAATAAAAATGCAAATGGGAGGGAAGCAGGGGCAGCTTTTGTTAATTTGTCTCTTTGGTTAATAATTGTTGGGAAAGCCCCTTCCCAAATTATAAATGCAGCCAGACGCAGCAGCCGCCCCAGTTACTTCAAAGACCAGTCAAAACTGGATGATGGAAAGGATCTGGTGATCTCAGGAAATTCATCGCTGCCCCCCAGCACTGCTCTGCTCTGCCTTGGGTTTTTTTTTTTTTTTTGATACTTCCTTGCTTCAAAGGGGAAAGATAAAACAAGGGCAAGATTGACCTGGTACGCCTGAGGAAATGTTCTTGTTGTCCACAAATCCTACATGGAGATAAGAGATGATGGCAAAACAAGACAACCCCTCCTTTCTGCTTTCTCCGTCCCCAAGGCAGGAAATTGACTTGCCTTGCTGGATACACAGCCAAGGATGGAGAGAGGGGGGAGGGGTAGTGCTCTTCTAACATTTCTTGTTCACCTTTGGGCTTCTTATCTGCACAGCTACAAGGGCTCCTGCTCTTTGTTGCAGGTTGATTTATTAGCACCAAACAATGGGTACCTGACGAGGAGGCTTGCCAATCCCGCCTCCAAAGCCATCAGAAGCAACAGAAGAGCCTGTTTTTAACTTAGCCTGTTAGGGATCTGCAAACCTGAGATACAAAGGAGGCTGCCTGGCAGGCCGGTTTTAAGCCCAAGTGCAACCATTTCATTTGCAAGCAAACACATCGTTCCATGTGCAAATTCACCAAAGAAATTTTTCACAGGCTCATAGGAACCTTTTTCGGCTAAGTGCATGGATTCTGAGGAAAATCGAATCGTGCAATAAAAGCAACCATTTTTACAAGGCTGTCAGTAAGCAAGTTCCTGTCTTGAGGGATTTACAATCTAATATTCAGCACAGAAGAAACAGGGAGGAGAAAAGAGGGAAGGAAAGAATGTGTTATTAGGTCTATACTGTAGGAACAACCTTGTTCTCTTGACTGCCTCATTGATATTTTCTGCGTTCTCCAAAGCCTCAAAACATGAAATGAAAGGCTGATCCATAATTCAGGATGGAATATCCATCTGTGGAAACTCACCCGTGCTATATTAAAAAGTCACTGAAATGGATTGGTTAACTTCTTTTTCTTTTAACTATGTGCACTGCTGGGAGAACCTTTTGTTGAAATCCAATCTATAAACTTTCTAAATAAATATGCTTCATGAAAATACCTTGGAGGGAAGAACTGAGTAAGAGAGACGGTGCTGTTCAGTTCCAGACATAAATGGATAGTTGCAATGTATAACTGGAAGATTTCATGAGAAGACAGCTAAATTTGCAAACTGTATTGAATTCCCTGTATGCATATTAATCTTTTAAGCTGCTTGCAGAACACGCTAAACCATAGGCTGTTGAATGAATGGATGCATATTACCTTATAAGCCCTGTCAATCATGCTTTGATCTTTAGCCAAAGTCATTGGCTTATGTTGAAACTTAGAGCAGTCACTATTCCAAAAACTATGACTTGTTGCTCATAAATGCTACCTTCTGTTCATCCCAAATGCTGGTTGATCTTGGCTTGCTGACATGTTAGGTCTACTTAAAGAATATATCATGGGAGAATATGTGTTTGCTTATGCACATGAATCTCCTTTTCTAATTTATTTATAAGAAGAGCTTGCAATGCAAAAAAACAACAACACTCCACTAGGCTAGACTAGTGATTTTTAGATTTTGCAACTTTACGTTGCGTGCACTGGGAGTTGAAGTCCACACATCTCAAAGCATGCTGGCTGGAGAATTCTAGGAGCTGAAGTCCACGCATCTTAGAGCATGCTCGGTGAGAAATTCTGAATGCTCAAGTCTATGCATCTTAAATCAAGCTGTGCTGGGAATTGTGGGAATTGAAGTTCACACATCTTAGAGTTGCCAAGTTTGAAAAACACCAGAAGAGAAAGTTTGGCTTGTATGTTAAAGCCTCTCCTCCAAAGGAATGGTTGAAACATGAATGTTAGCACTGCAGGAAATTGAGAGAAGGACATGTACTTCTCGGAGTTAGTAGGCAAAGAGTAATAAATTGTTATGAATCTTGTTACATTGAAGAACAAAAATATAAACTGGAAACTTTCCTTGGTGCTTTCTCTCTTAAATAGATTGTCCTGACATATCCTAATCAACTGCACCTTATTGTCCTAATTGCTTTTGAGTTTTCTTTTAACAACCAAATTTAGAGCCTTGGTAGTACAGGGGTTTAAGGCACCCTGTTATTAAGCTTATTAAGACCAGCTGCCTGCAATTACTGCAGGGTTCGAATCTCGCCAAGGCTCAAGGTTGACTCAGCCTTCCATCCTTTCTAAGGTAGGTGAAATGAGGACCCAGTTTGTGGGGGCAATAAGCTGACTTTGTATAAATATACAAAAGGATGAAGGCTATTGCTGAACACATTGTAAGCCGCCCTGAGTCTTCGGAGAAGGGCGGCATATAAATCAAATTAAAATAAAAATAAATAAATAAAAAAAATAAATTTAGAATGGTTTGTCCAGTTTTTTTTCTAGAGTTTTCTAAGTCTTTATCTGAGTTTATCTGACCATTCAGATAAAAGTGAGATGGTGGGAGGTAGCAGTCACCATCCTTCAATCTTGGCCTATTCAAACCCAATCCAACACATCCCTGTTAATGTCAACATGACTTAGCAGATGATATGGTTGATTATTTAGCAATGTAGTTATTGCCTGCTTTGGAAAGAAATTTGTTTTGTGAATTCTATTTCTCTACTTTCTCTCTGAAGAGAATGTTCTTTATTTTTAAAGCGCCAAACCACAAACTTTAAGAAGCAGAATGATGAAAATATGATCCAGGTAACATTAGGGTTGAACTCTGGTATTCTAAGGAAATTAAGAAAGTGTGATTGCAATATGATACTCATTTACTTGAATATCTCCATGAGATCATGGAACTACTCAGTGAGTAGACATATAATTGATTGCATGATCAGGGTATGATTTTTTGTGTCATTACCTGGATGACACATAAAATGAGACTATACCGCCAGTATGTTTAGAACACAGACTTTTGAAAAAAAAATGCCCTAGATTGTACCCACAATATTATACTTTCTAATTTGTTTCAAAGATTATGACTCATTTAGTTCATTGACACAGCAGGAAAAATGATTTAGAGTCCACCCAGTCCTCTAGAAAAATCAATTCATTCCCACTATGGCTTGAAAGAAAGAAAAATAGCATGCAAAAACCTGATTCATGTACCCTAACCCACACCAGCATGCAGCAATGATATGTGATGAAATGAATACTTACAGAATGGGCCAACTGGACCAAAGAGAACATATGAGAAAAACAAAAATAAAAAAGTATGAGATGCATTTGATTAAATAAGGCTGACATGAATGCTTAGAGAATTGGAGGATAAAGGTATTAGAGGCCAAACGTCCACTCAACTAGTTGCTAGATCAATATAAAATCCTTGATTCAGTTCACCTACAAAGCCCTTTAAAACTTGAGTCTTCTCTATCTCTGGGACAACTTGCTCCAAGGAGGATTCTGTTCATCCAACACCATCTAACTGAGAAAGGTAGACCACCCATGAGAGATTAAGGGGAAAGGGAGCCACAAGCTGGTCTTCCCCTTCTTTGTGGAATACTTTGGCCACCAAAATCAAGATGGCACACATTTGGGCATTTAAGAATGGGGCCAAAACAATCCCTTTCTGCATGATCTCTGTACCTCAGTAGTTATGGTGGAATCTGGTGTGGAGATGGAAGAGGGAGAGGCACTTTCCCAAGCAGCTAAGAAGCAGATCAGCCTCGAGTCCTTGGTTTGCAGAAACAGGCCCAGAAGGGTTCCTCCATAAACCTTCACAGCATTGATCTGATCATTATGCAAAGAATGCTTTAGTCTGGCAAGATTCCTGTCTATGGGCAAACAGCAATGAAGAAACCACTCTGAATAATTCATCCTGTCATTCTTGGTTCCTTGTGCTGGACATTAATCTTACCAGACCAAAACATACTCTGAATAGTAACTATCAGATCAATCCTGTGATTTAGGTTTAGGAAGGATATCTTCTGGGCCTCTTTCTGCAAAACGTGGACTTGAGCTATGCGGACCTCATAGCTGCTTGGGAAAGAGCTCCTCCCACTTCCATTTCAGCATCAGATTCCACCACAGTAGTTGTCCATAGCAGAGCAAGCTACATATGCATTTTTTTTAATTTTGCATGGCATGTTTTGATATTGCAAGCTAAGCATACAAATTGTTGCAATGAATAAGAAAGTACAGATGTGCTCAGAGCATTTTAAGGTCAAGATATCCCTTCTTTTTAGAGATATGCAGACCTTGAGACTAATATTACAATGCCTACCTGTTTAGGGTTAGTTTTAGAGATTGGGCTTCTTTCTAAGAAAAAGTACTGGCTCTTTAGTTTCAATTTCAACCTTTAGCAACTGGCCAGAAATTTTATTGTGTGTAAATTTCAAAGGTTTCGTTTGTTTCTTTAATAAAATGTTGGCTTGTTTCTATTAAATAAGTACTGTTCTGCAAACAGTGTGACTGAAAGCAATTTTCTAAATAGCTGCAAATTTCTTTAAACAAGATATATAGAGGCTCTTTTTATGACTGGGCTACCCTCTATGGATGTGTTTTCCCAGCTGCTCTGCGGAACATTCCAGGTGATGTTTTTGGAGGGGAAATATTTAATTCCTTTTCCCATTTTTTAATAAAGCAAACTTTACTTTGTGTTTATCAGAAGCTAAACGCAACTTCTTATTTAAAATTCTTATTTTTAAAAATCTGGAAACTTCTAAGCTTGTTATTTTGCAGTTTATTGTCAAATTATAGGACCATAATCATAAAGTAGCTCCATGGTTTGCAAAAAAAACCAAAAAGAGAGAGAGAGGGAGGGAAGGAGCTGGGAGCAAAAGCAATACAGGATCCTCAATTTACAACTATAATTAAGCTTGCAATTTTTTTTTTTGCAATAGTCATTAAGTGAATGGTGCAGTCATTAAGTGAACCCATTGTTTGCTATAGGGCATTTTTACTGGAAACTGGAAGCAAACACTGGTTTCTGTCAAAAACATAAATCATGGTCATGTGTTCATTGGACACCGTAAATGGCCATAAATGTGAGCACCCAAAACTTGAGCAATCAGAGCTTCAAATCTGGGTCACAAGTAGCTTTTTCAGGGTAGGTTGTAACTTTGAATGGTTGCTAAGCAACCAGCCATAAATTAAGGATTATCTGCATATAATTTATATTGAAGGGAGGGAGGGGAAAGGGGGGCAGCTGCACAAGAAATATAAGCAACATGTTCCTTGATCGCCTTCTGGAACTGTCATGAATTGGGTACTTTCTGGCTGTTTGGATTGCAACATCCATTTGTCCTGACCCTAGTTTGGAAGCTCTAGTCCCAGATAGCTGGAGTGGGTGTGAATATTAATCCCTGCTTTACTAACTTTCTGTCCCCATCAACCCTTGGTATCTGCCTTGATTGATCAGAACTGCTGACCCTCAAGCAAACAAAGCGTTTTAGCTACAGTTGCACCAAGGACAGCATGGCCCTCATACATGTTGGACTTCTTTGATCGTAGCTCTTCAGCAGCCAGACTCTGCAGCCCACTCATATATACTTACCATGTACACTGAGGGATCCCGAAGCCTCAGATTTGCCCACGCTGTTCTCTGCCACACAAGTATAGGTCCCCTCATCCTCTGCATTCACTCGGCTGATACGCAAGCTATTGTCATTCTGGATCTCCGATCTTGGTTTTGAAGGGGAAAAAAAGGATGTCAATGGCTGTGTTAAGCCATGGTTAATTTCTGGAAGAAGCCACCGTGAGCTGGATTCACACAACGCCCTTAACCATGAACCTGTATTTAGAAATCTTAACAGCTTGGTTTGTGTGACTTTCTTTCGTATAAAAATTGAATAAATAAATAAGTAATAAAGCAAAATTCACCAATCGGCATTACAATTCTGTCTGGGGCCCTGAATTTATCTCCATAGCACCGAATTGCTGCATTCCAGACCATATATACAAAGCTGGAAAGACATTGGAATACCCACAATGGAGGAGTGGTAGGTGAAGATGACAGAATTTGCACAGATGGCAAAATTGTTGTGTTTAATAAGATAACGGTCAAGCACCGGGGAAATCAGGAGATTCAGGCCGTTCAAATGAGTATAAAGATTTATTGCAAGCTTAAACTCTCTACAAGAATCTGAGCTACTATCGGTCAAAGGAAATGAATGGGAGTTAAGAAAGGAATTAAGGTGGGCTGGGCTTAGATATCTTGTAGATGCGCAGGGACTTATGACACGTTTGACCCCTCCCTCGATTCCTGGTCTAGTCATCTCCTACAATAACTAGACAATAGCTACATATGCAAATGACTGGAAAGTCATTTTTGCACATTTACATGTGCAAATGAATGGAAAGATTTTTTGCTGAAAACAGAAACAAATGTATTTGTGATTTATGGATTTGATGATTGGAAAGGGTAGATTATGCTATGATGTAATCCTAGAGAGGATAACATTCAAATGCATTTATAACTGCTGTAAATCAACCTGAAGCCATTTCTTTATATTTTGTCTTTCTTTTTTCTATTTCTCTTTCCTTTATTCTTTTCTTACCACTTTTCTTTGACTTAACTTTGGGTTTTTTTTTTCTTTACATGTTTTTATTCTGTCATTTTTTCAGTTAAAAATATTACCAAAAAAAAAAAAAAAAGGGATCACAGGCTGGCCTAGCAGCAAGTTATCCCTCAAACCATTCTTAAATTTCAGGCTTCAGCATGTAGTAGTAGTAGACTACTAGTAGTAGCGCTTGTAGCAGAGGCAACGCTATATATTTTCATACTTATATAGATGATCCCAGAACAGCTATCATTACAATAAGCAGTCTAGTATCAAATTCATTTCTCAGCACACTGTAACAAATATTTCATTTCCATTACACTCGCATTTAAACACATTACAAAAGTCAATATAACACAATATCATTTAGGAGCTTGAGTCTCTGAATGTCTTCCTCACCACCATCACCACAGAAAAACCGCGAAGGTCTCCTGAGCATCTGAGATGAGGCCTCAAGAACTCTAGATTTAAAAATAAAAACCTTGGTTCTGTCTGCCAAGTTGTTCTTTTTTTTTTTCCAGGAGCAAAATATTCTGCTAGCAGTAGAACAAACCTTTATTATTGGAATTGTTCTGGAACTGATCTTACCCTGAGGAAACAGCTTGCCGAAAAGACAACTAAATCTTCCCAGATTGACAGAAATAGCGCACTAAACTATTTGATGTTTGAAGAACAAGACTTTGTTATTTTGGATAATGAACTTCTCTCATTTCTTTGTACATGAGAAATCTTTCTCTGGGGCCATCTATAGCTTCTAAAAACAATGATTTGCACTCACAATGACTGCAGTTATCAACTTTTCTCATAGTTCTAAGAATGATTGTCACTGACTGGACTGATTCCTCAAGATCTCAGCCCAGTTCATTCCTAAAACTCAAGTTATCAAAGATCATTTGAATCAGTGGTGAAATCCAATTTTTTTTTACTACCGGTTCTGTGGGCGTGGCTTGGTGGGCATGGTGTGGCTTGGTGGGCGTGGTTTGGTGGGGGTGGCAGGAGAAGGATACTGCACAATCTCCATTCCCACCTCACTCCTGGGGGAAGGATATTGCAAAATCTCCATTCCCACCCAATTCTGGAGCCAGCCAGAGGTGGTATTTGCCGGTTCTCCAAACTGCTCAAAATCTCTGCTACCAGTTCTCCAGAACCTGTCAGAACCTGATGGATTTCAACCCTGATTTGAAGTAAATACTAGACATTGAATCATGGACTTTATTAATGTAAAACCAAACGCTATACCAAGCTGTAGCTCTGCAGATCAGTTGTGGAAGACTAGCTCCATGCCAGGTCTGGTACAAAGGATGACCTCTTCTACTGAGCAATTGGACGTGCTTCTACTGGTAGAAGCATGTTCTACTAGATGTGCTTCTTCTTAGGCATCCACTGCTGCCAGGAATAATGAAAAAATAAAACTAGAGAGCAAATCCTGCACAATTATTCTTATTAACTATCACCTTCCTTTGAATTCTGCATGAAAAATCATGTTATCTCCATATTGTGTTATCTGATTTAATCACATTCAGTGACTTTCTGTGTTCCCATATATGGAACCTATTCTTCCTTCTCATCGTTAAACTTATTCTCTATTCCCAGTCTTCAAAAATGTGCTCCATCTTCTTATTAATGCATTTAGAAGGGGAAAAAATAGATGCCTTTAACTGTACAGCAACTAGTGCAATTGTCTGTAATGATATTTACTGTCATCTCTGTTGTGCCTCATGAATGATTATCCAGGGGATTAAGCTCCTTTGTCACCCTGGAATCAAGACAAGGATATCTGAACAATGGTCCCATTTCAACACTAACACTTTGACAGTAATCGACTGACCTTTTCAGACTCTGCAGCATGGCAAAAGAAGCCTTCCTTCCAATCAGCAAAGGGTTGTCAGCCATTATTGCTACTGCTTGTCGTTTCTTGCACTTGTCATTTTAACATGCAAAGGAGCTGATGGCCCTCCTCTTACAACTGGGAAAAGGGAGGATGCCAAAGCTATTTGAGAAGCACTAAGGGGAAAAAGCCATCTCCCACAATCCTTACAAGTTGTCCTGCATTTTTTCCTATTGATTCCTATTCAGTTTGATGAATTTGCTTCTGATTTTTTACAGGGAAAAAAAAAAGAATTGAATAATTTTAGTTACCAAGAGTTCGATTCTGACCAGCTCAAGGTTGACTCAGCCTTCCGTCCTTCCGAGGTGGGTAAAATGAGGACCCAGATTGCTGGGGGCAATAGGCTGATTCTGTAATCCACTTAGAGAGGGTGGAAGGAAGGAAGGGAGGGAGGGAGGGAGGGAGGGAGGGAGCCATGGTGGTGCAGTGGTTAGAATGACACATTACAGATTAACTGTACCCACTGCCAGGAGTTCGATCCTGACCAGCTCAAGGGAGACTCAGCCTTCCATCCTTCCGAGGTGCGTAAAATGAAGACCCAGATTGCTGGGGGCAATAGGCTGACTCTGTAAACCGCTTAGAGGGGGCTGTAAAGCACTGTGAAGTGGTATAGAAGTCTAAGTGCTATTGCTATTGCTATTGAAGACGTTCCTCAAGTTTGCTTACTTAAAAGGTGCTCATAGATATTCATGAGGATCCTCTTGTTCATTGTATAATATTCTCTCCTGCAGTCCACAGCCTCCCTGACTTCTCCCATTAAACCCACAGGAGCCTTGTTAAAGAATTCTTCCTATATCTTTTTGAGTTTGGGAAGTGTAGACTTTCAAGGTAGTTCAGACAAGAAGCACAAACCATGAATATTAATGCTACCTTGTGGTGCAGTAGTTAGAATGCAGTACTGCAGTGTAAGCCTGACAGGGTTCAAGATTGACCCAGCCTTTCATCCTTCCGAGATCAGTAAAATGAGGATTCAGATTGTTGGGGGCAATATGCCGACAAACCACCCAGAAAGTGCTGTAAAGCACTATAGGGCAGTATATATAAGTGCTATTGCTACTGCTATTGTAATTGCTATCTTTACTGTCAGGTTACTATATAACAGAATCTTGCAAATCTGAGAGCAGTTCTCTCTTCCTTTAATTTTACTTTTCAGGAAATAAAATGGGTTCCTTTTCGAGATGCTTCTCACAGCCCTTTTACCTCTCTGGGTTGTGATACCTTTACATGACAGTCATCTAGTTTCCAGTTCTTTCTCCTGTTTCCCATAGTCATTCCCCCATAACATTACAATCCATCCAAGGAGGCTCCAAGTGACAGAAATTTTTGAGTGATAACAAAGCAAAACAAACAGCACAAGACCCATCCCTTACTCCCAATGATCAGCTCTGCTCAAAAAGCCATCAATAGAAAACAGAAATCAGAAAAGCTTAAATAGTGGTACAATATGGTAGAAAAACAGCAAGCACTTTTGCAGGGGAGGAAAATGACAAGACAGATTTTAGCACAACATTTACACACCATTCAAAAAAGACAACCGAAAAGCTAAAAAGGAAACAAAAAGACCCAAACACACTCTCGCCAGTAATCAACACCCACATAAGAAGAGATTGACATCAGAATTAATACCAGGCCAACAAACCAGCAGTAAACAATACTCCAATCAAGGAATTACCAAGAAGAAAACAATACTCCTACCAACACTAACAGGACAAGCCATTGTATATAAACAGAGAGCAAACCCCACTCCCTTCTAGCACTGAAGATATTACCTACTTGGATAATGAAATGTCTGCAAGAAAACCACAAGCTCACAGAGACCAAGGACTCAATCTACAGGAAGAACCCTAAAGATGAATGGAGAACTTGCAATTGTCACTTACCTCCCTCGAGGAAGTTCCCCTTCCTCTTTTCGCCACCGGGATGTTGGCACTGGATCCCCTTGCACCTCACAGTGAAAATTCACAGTGTCTTCTGCCAGGACCACCTGGTTGATGGGCCTCTTGATGAAAGTGGGCCGTTCTGTCAGGATCATAAAGTGTTTCAAAAGCAAAGGACAAGAGCAGGATATAGAGACACATATTATTTTGGAACTAGTGTTGAGATCTCAGTTTGGCCTTCTCTGTTGTAATTAAAGGAGATGCGACTGAGACTAGGGGAAAGAAAGAGAGATGACCAAAGCATGTTTTCAGTCCTGGGGAAAAGAATTTGAGCAGGAGACAGTGAATGACTAATGGGCCTGGGGCTACCTCAACTTAATTTCCTAACCCTCATGCAAGCAATCCGTAGGGATATGTGAATCACCCAAGACTGGATTCAAATCGTTAATGCAATGTAATGAGTTGAGTCAATTCAATTCAAACCATCCCTTTGAGGCACTGAATCAAATTGATTTCAGTCGTTCATTTGATTTTGGGGGGAACAAAAGATGGACTTGGACTTGCCCAAATGTGCATCAAATCGATCTCAAAGCACCTGAGTCAACTGATCAACCGGATTTGCTGATTTGATCAAGAAGGTGATTTGAGTGAATCTCTGCACAGACCCAGCACTCAGCTCAATTATCTTGTAAATTTGACTCCACTCCTATGGCCCAATAGATTTTTTAAAAAAGGGAATCCAGGAAAAAAAGAAAATTGAAAAACGATTGAAAAAGTGGCTCAACCCAATTTTGGTGATAGCCCCACCAATTAATCCTAAACATGTAACAAGAATGATCCTCTTTCATTTCCCTCATTTCCATTCCTACAACTTCTAAACTTTTTTTAAATATAATTTTTCCATGGTCTCATCTAGTTGGACCCAAGAAAATTCACTTTCTTCTTCTTCTCCAGTAGAGTCCACCAGAACCCTGCTTCTACGTACCAAACACCACCAGTTCTGCAGGTTCGCTATCCCGTTCGCCTACCATATTGGTGGCCACACAGATGTACATTCCAGCATCACTCTTTCTTGTGTTGGACATCATCAGCTTCCCACCTCGGATCTAAGAAGAAGGTCAAGAAAAGGCTGTAAGGTCTCCATCCATAGACCTTCCCTAGACCTATATTTTGATGGAAAATGGCACTCTGGCCTTGCTTCCACGTCATAAGTGACCTAGTCAACCCTTCTACTAGTGATCAGACTCATCGTTTGGTGCTATGATCACATAATCTTGGGCAATTTATTTATATATTCTCGGTGACCTATAGTGATGAAAAAAAATCCCACAACATAAAACACCCAAGGTTAAAACAATAAACTCCCCCGAAAAGAAAACATTCCTGATCCAAATGCTAAGGATACAGCCAGGTCTTTGAAGTGCTACAAAAGCCCAACAGCATTGGGACCATCTGGATTTCCTGAGGGATACTCTTCTATAGGGCAGGCACTGCCACCAAGAAGCCACAACTCTGGTATCCGATAAGATGGCACTGCTTGATGGAAAGGACCAGAGCGTGCTGGGAAAGAGGTAGTAATTCCGTGGCCTCCCAGGTGCCACAAAGCAGGCTGAGAAGTAGTGACTTCCTTTCCATGTTTATTATTTTTCCACCCAAAGGGAAACTATGATGGCACAACTTGGATTAATATCTCCAGGGACAAGTTGAGGCTTCACCTTCCCCATAGCTGTCCCTTTTTTTCTCATTTACTATTCCCTTCCATGTGGGAAAAAGAGGATGAAAGAGAACATAGCAAGAGCCTAGGAAAACATTGTTTTCATGGGATCTGTTTCTTCATCCAATATGTGGACGACAGAAAAATATTAATCCTCCAGTGAGCAGTTTACATACCACTGTGGTGGGAATTTAATTCATTAGGAAGAATGATAGCTCAGGAATGGTGTCCTGGACCAGAAGATGAACAAGTCAACTTGGCCTGTTGACCAGAAGCTGTTTATAGAAGTTCCAGCTCAAGGCATTTTTTAGGTTTTTCAATCCCAATATACAATGTGTGCACAAAAAGCAGAGATGCTCAATCTCACCGTGATGCGCTCCTCCTTATCACTGATGCGGATGCTGTTCTTCTTCCAGGATATAGTGGGCTCTGGATGGCCTCTTGGTGGGATGCACTCCATCACTGCTGGCTCACCAGCTGCTACTACCACATCACTGGGAGCCTGCCGGAAGTCATCTCTTAAGACTGTAAGAAAAAGGAAGCCTGTGAAAGCCCATCAGAAGTATCTGTGGAGATCCTCAGTCATCCAGGTCATGGTTGTCCCAAAGGTGCTTTTTCAAAAGGCAACTGAACTTTTCTTTGTTTTTTTTCTCTTCAAGACATTTTGCTTTTCATCCAAGAAGCATTCCCCACCATTCAGTCAGAACTGAAGATGCTTCTTGGATGAGAAGGAAAATGTCTTCAAGAAAAAGAAAACACAGAAAGTCTAGTTGCCTTTTGAAAAAGTACCTTTGGATCCCTTCAGAAGGGATAAGACTGGGAGCCAAGGAAACACATGAAGATAATTCTGCTTTGCCTCCTTCAGGAATAATGTCTCAAATAATGAATCAAATAAGATAGCAGGAAGCATCCTTTAAAAAGTACTGCATGGTGGGGGGGAAAAGTTTATAGGTGTCTCCAATAATCCAAAAAGCCAGCAAATTATACATTTTGAGAAAGCAAGATGTGGATCCAAATCTCTTCACCAAAACAGGCCTTCCTGTCCTATTGCAAAGAGCTGACCCCAATGCTTTCCATCACTGTGGTATTTCCCTCCACCTAATTTCCTCACTGCTATCCGGACTCAGCTTTAAGGGCATCAGGAACTAACAACTCCCACGCCGGAAACAGCCCTCGACTTAACAGCTGCTCCCTCTGCTATCTGCTGTATGCCCCAATAGGGCCAGCTTTGCCATATGGCCTAAAGGGATGCACAAGAGTTTGCAAGCAAAATATGCCTCACCTTTGCCAAGTGCAATATGGCAATTTTCCTAAGCAAGCGTAATCTCTTTGGACATTTTTTCCAAAGCAAATGTGGCTTGCAAAAAAATCTGAATAGAGCCTTCCCCAGGGCAAACTTGCATGCCTGAGGCAAGGAGCTCTATGTTGGGAGCTTTTTGGCATGTATAGCATCAAAGCAGCAGTAGAGTTCCAAACCTTAATTACTGCTCAGTAAATACATGGGAAAGAGAGAAGGAAATATCTGCATTGGTTAATAGCACTTAGACTTATACACCATTTCATATTGATTTACGGCCTTCTCTAAGCTGTTTACAGAGTCAGCATATTGCCCCCAACAATCTGGGTCGTCATTTTACCGACCTCAGAAGGATGGAAGGCTGAGTTAATCTTGAGCCTGATGAGATTCGATCTGCCAAACTGCTGGCAGACAGTGATCAGCAGAAGTAGCCTGCAGTACTGCACTCTAACCACTGTGCCACCGCGGCTCATATTATAACTCAATGAATTTAAGGCACACATTTCATTATGGCAAGAAAAGAAGGGAGGGATATGGGTTTCAATGGTCCTCATGGGCTACAATGATCATTTAGAGGTGGGAGTAATTTAATCTACTGGATTCCCTGCGTGTGTTGCCCCTGTGAAGATCATGAGCAAATGGTTAGACGAGGAGACCTGAACTCATTGTTAGCTTCACATTGCAATGAACAAGGACATGCATTCAATTTTACAGCTACCAAGATTGTTGGCTGAGCAGGGACCAAAATAGCCAGAGAAATGACTGAAGCCTGGCAAACAGGTCTCTTGTCAGTCAAGAGGAGTGCTGATTTACCACCAGCTTACCAAGTACTTAGGAGCCAAAGGCACAGCACAGTGGTGGGTTCCTCCCGGTTCGGCCCAATTCCACTGGGCCGGTAGCGGTGACAATATGACGTTACCGAACCGGTTCTGCTCCCCTGCCTCCCCGCCCCACCCACCCCCCGCATTATTCTTACCTTTTATTTGGCCCCACCCCCAATCTATTGCTTCCTCCTGAGTCCCAGCTGATCAGTGTTAAAAGAAAACAAATGAGTAGACCGGTGCCTGCAAAAATACATGAGTAGATCGGTGCCTGCAAAAATAAATGGGTTGATCGGTACAGCTCTGCAAGCAGTTAAAAGCCTGTACCTCTGCTAAATCCTAAATAATTGTCACATGACTATCAAGCCATGCCCACAAAATAAGCCACGCCCACAGAACTGGTAGTAAAAAAATTTAGAACCCACCCCTGGCACAGCAGCACAAGAAAACAACAACTAATGATTTAATAGCTGGCCATCAACACCCTAATTAACAACTGAAAGACACACACAACCAGGCACCATATAAATATAATGTGTAGAACAGCCCAGTGCACATATTCTGGAGAGAGAATATCCCTGATGATGGGCTCCAAACATGAGCCGAAAAGCTCAGAAGAACAAACCTTTGGTCCCAGTGACTGACTCATATTGGACTCTGCAATCCAACGGTTCATTTGAGAATATGCTTAGGCTCCAAACATGATCCTTTCAACCCTGCCATCTAAGAATGATGTCAAACAATTCAAGAAGAGAAATTCTTTCCTGATTGCCAACCTCTTTGGAAGCAGAGATAAGGACATCTCTACCTCCTCTCAATCTCTAGTCACTAGTCAATTTTGCAGGCTGATTTCATCAGAAGCCCATGTTAATCCCTTTTAGTCTGTTTCAATATGTATCAAGGGCCATCCTCCTTCTTATTTAAGTAGTGTGCATCTTACCCTAGCAACATTTCACACTTGAAGCTGCAAATACCATCACTTTGGAGCACACTATGCTTGGCAGTCCACAAAGGAAGGGGATGGGAAATCACATATTACAAAAGGGATAATAGTACCAGTGGGCCCATATACAATGTATATGGGTGTTTCAAGAATGGGACTGTCAATACATTGATGGAATATAGTCCCCATGCAGATTAATTTTATTATGAAAGCAACATTTATAAAATAGCGGTGTCTAAATTAAGGATAAGAATACTAGAATGGTGGTTTTTAGACCAAAGGAATGGGAGCAGAGGTGGGTTTCAGCAGGTTCTGACCAGTTCTGGAGAACCGGTAGCAGAAATTTTGGGTAGTAAAAATTCTGACTGGCCCTGCCCCCATCTATTCTCTGCCTCCCAAGTCCCAGCTGATTGGGAGGAAATGGGGATTTTGCAATAACCTTCCCCTGGATTGGGGAGGGAATGGAGATTTTACAGTATCCTTCCTCTGCCACACCTACCAAGCCACACCCACAGAACCAGTAGTAAAAATTTTTGAAACCCACCACTGAATGTGAGTCCCAAAGGTGTTTTTTCAAGAGACAACTGGACTTTCTGGTTTTTCTTTGAAGATGTTTTGCTTCTCATCCAAGACGCTCAAAGGAATGGGAGATGCTGTGTTATTTTCTCCCAAATATTCAAAAACAATATCCATTCTTAATTTTTTTCCTTAGCCTGGGGTGGGTGGGTGGATGGGAGGGATCTGCAAAGCAAGAGAAGTTTCCTCACTGTTTTGCAAAAGGGGTTTATTTGAAGGTTTCTCATGCATGCATGTGTGCGCACCCGACACACACGCACACACACACCAGTTGGCTGGATAAAATGCTTTGTTGTAAGAGCAGTGATGAGAGAGGAAAAAATTGGGGGCTTCCTTTTGAGATGGTCACCAAGCCTTCTCATAAATCGAGGATGGATTGCCTGCATCTTTGCTCTAAATCTGTTCCCAAAACAGAATCTCAAAACACTGTATTGAGAATGGGTTAATTTGGAAGGCAATGGAAGAAATATGGAAAACATTAAAAAGGAAAGCATCATCATCAAGTTTTAGAAGGACCAGCATCTCATGACAACCTGCGGATGAAACAAAGGCAGGCAGGTTTGTGGCTTTTTACAGATGAAGTCTGGGCCTTTTTCCTCAGTCTCTTTCTGCTTCATCTGAATTATTAAGCACCCCACAAATTCACTGTCCCTTAGGCTGCCTCATGTATTTACCACTGCACAACTAATTATTCCTTCTCTGAGTTGTTTCTTAATCAGCCGCTGCTTGCCAAAATAATTCAGCATTTTATAACCATTACAGGGAAATGTCAAGGCTTTATTGCACAACTGCCTGTCAGAGGCTATTTATGGCATTGCAGAGATTTCCTGGACTTGTAAAACACACCAGAGTAGCTGCAGCCAGCAAAAGAGCAACAGCAAGAAACAACATTTCATTTCGCCTGACTTAATGATTCCGGAGGGTTCGCCTTGTGCTTTGGACACGCACATGACTATTCATCCATGTACTGATTCCCTGGCCACTGGGGAAATGATCCCCTGAAAATAGGAACAGAGAGGAGGCCAAGCCAGTTGGCTGGAATTAGCAGCAAGTGTCTAAAGCGATGGTTTTATGATGTGTGGACTCCCAGAATTTCCCAGCCAGCTTGCTCAAGTTGAGAAAAAGAATGGACTCAGGAACAATAGAGGTAAGGCCACCATTGGAAGATATGAAGAACCAGGTAGGGGACAGGATCCTCCTTGAGAAACTCTTGCCATATGATTGCTGAGAGTTGACAGCAACTTGATGTTATACAATCAAATGAATTGTCTAAAGAGTCAATAACCAATTAGAAAACTGAAACATGAAAGATTCCATTGTACCAGGCAGTTGAAGCACACTCTCGCCCAGTGGTGGGATTCAAGTAATTTAACAACCGGTTCTCTGCCCTAATGATTTCTTCCAGCAACCAGTTTGCCAAACTGCTCAGAAAGTTAACAACCGGTTCTCCCGAAGTGGTGCGAACTGGCTGAATCCCACCACTGCTCTCGTCTTAACTATCAGGTGCAAAGTAGAAGAATACTACTTATTTTTAAAGACCCTCCCGAGGTTTGTCATTATTGAGCCCTCTCTCAAACTGCTGTTGGGTGCTACTTACAACTGCTTTACAACTCATTTGACCTGAGATATTATTACACTGCGACATTTTCTTGGCTAAATAATGTGGTTGGAACACCAAGCTGATAAGGTGAGCCCTGGAGAGCTGGGCTAACACAAATGGCAAGGATGCGGCTAATAATATAGGAGAGCATATTTTTGCCTGGATCACAAAAAAAGAGGTAAGGAAGGTTTCATGAAAAAGGGTTTCGTGAAAAGGCAGAAGGAATTTTCCTCTTGGAGTTTGGGAAGTTGTATGTAATCTCAACACACAAAACATCAATTGGCCTGAAAGCAACTTCTAATAGTTGGGTTTACAGATCATCCAAGGAATGGCAAGCTTAAGATTTAGAATCAGTAAAAGAAAGCATATAATTAAGCCTTTCTCTGCAACAAGATGTGTGGTGGGACTTATAGTTTAGATATTTTTGAAAGAGAGCTAAATAAATTCATTGTTGTTGTCACTAAATCATGTCCAATTCTTCATAATACCATAGACCAGGCCCCCCTGTTCTCCACTGATCTGTATGGAGATACCTAACAACAACTGTTAGCCAAATAAATAGATGAAGCTTCCGTATTCAATGGCACTGTGCCAACAAATACAGATTTTTATACAAGAAGCCCTTGGTTTTCAGGCTACAGTGATAGGTTTTCTGGAAGCCTTGGATTGAATTAGTTTGAGAAGCAGATTTTGGCCTGTCTTTGTAACTTTTGGAACACCAATTTGCCTTCTATTCAACACTATTAAGGCTGAAAAAGATACCCCAAAAGACATAGTCATGTCTGCTCACAGTAACCTATGATGTTTAACCTGAACATTTGAGAAAAATCTTCATATCTGTTTGGGATAATCCTCAAATCTCTCTCAGCTAAATGCCCTGTATTGACCTTTGTTTCATTCCTACTCTACAACCAGAAAGGGAGGGAGAGAGAAAAGTGCTAGGATTTTGTCTACTTTTTGAACTATTTGTTTCGTCCTTCAACACTTTAGAAGACGGGAGAAGGAAGAAGGAGGAGGAGGGGGAAAAAAGAGTATGCTTACTAGGCATTAATAGAGTGTCAATAAGCCATTTAACTTTGCGCCGAGTAATACACCATAAATATTCATACCTAAGTGTAATATACTGAAAAAATCTTGCTGGTAATGAGCAATAAAATACAGATATATTGCTTATTAAATATTTATGCCTACAATCCAAGAGCTTTGTCAAAATGGATGCCTTTGGAGGGAACTGGACACAGCAACGTAGTAAAATACTTACCATATTAGTTAAGCAACACGTCCCTTGAGGTCCCGGTTCCCAGATCTTGCATAGAAGCAGTAGCACCATGTGCCAGCAATCAGTTATTACTTACATTGCCATCATTACTACTAAGTGGTCTTTAGAATAGGAATGGCTCAATCATTGGTCAACTTTCTTTCCTAGCAGAAAATTGTGCTGGGAAACTGTTCAGAAGGGAGAAAGTGCAGATTCTCTGTGAAGCCAAAACTGACAAGAAGAACCAGAAATGGGCTTAAGAATTCATGCTGAACTGATAAACTATACTACACTTAATCAGGTAAGTATCTTTTTTTATCCAGGATATGGAACTCAGTGCCTTCCCCAAAATTTCAAAATTTAACCTCAGAACGCTCTGGCCATGCTGACCAGGTCTATTAACATCCCATCTTCTGTAATATGCCAGGTCCTTGCTGATGATTTACTTTAACTGGCAAAAAAAAAAAAAAAAAAAAAAAACCTTCAAGGTCTTTCCTGTCACTGGTGATCCTTTTAATCAGAGATATAACTGACGGGATCAATCACGCTCTGAATGCAATACACGTGCTGTAGCATTTTAACTTCCTTTCTGTCATATGAAAGACCAGAAAACTAATTTCCATTCTAGTTGACAAAAGTGAATTAGAAGGAGATGCACTGCAATCTGTCCAATGAACTGCAGACATTATCATAATTTTCAGAAGGAAGAGATGCTGCCAAAGGAATGATCAGATAAGACACGTGTAGCCTGCAAGAGAGCTGGGCAAGAGAATCAGAAAGGACCCTCCTATTTTCTTGGGCTGTAAAGGAGATGCAAAGAGAATTGTGCAAAAGGTGTTTTTTCAAAAGGCAACTGGACTTTCTGTGTTTTTCCTTGAAGACGTTTCACTTCTCACCCAAGAAGCTTCTTCAGTTCAACAAGCTTTTCCTTTGGAACAACCATGACTGGGATGACTGAGAATCTCCATAGACAAGGAAAATTGTACTTACAATTTTCAGATTTGTAAGACTGTTCATTTTATTTTTATTTGTATTTATTTGTATTTCGTCAAGCATGTATTTTATGACAGATACAAGTGTAAACATAATTATAAATACATGAAATGGATATGAATAAAAGGAAACATTAGCACAGGGATGGTTAGCACGCTGACGCGCTTAAGCACACCTCTTTACAATAAAAGTAGAATTAGATTATCTGCTCATTTTTCCTGTCCGGTCTACCTGGTAAGGCTGACACCAGTTTAGATGACCTCTGTCTCCGCTCCCATATCAGAGTGAATTTAAAGAAAGAAGAAGAGGAGACATGGCTTTCATGAACCTTAGTACAGATAGAGGAATTATCATCAGAAGTAGAAGCCACCATTGTTCTAGGTGTGTCCATCCTAAGGTCACAAATTCCCCCAATTAGAATGACCATTCTGATTATCTGTCTGAGGTGATTAAAACATTAGGCAAGGAAGTCAAATAAGAAGGGTAGCATATAACACACATCTAATATAATATACAGGTAGTCCTCAACTTACAGTTCATTTAGTGTGAATTCAAAGTTACAGCGGCACTGAAAAAAGTGACTTATGACCGTTTTTCACACTTACGACCGTTGCAGCACCCCTGTGATCATGTGATCAAAATTCAGATGCTTGACAACTGACTCATATTTAAGATAGTTGCAGTGCCCTGGGGTCATGTGATCACCTTTTGCAACCTTCTGACAAGCAAAGCCAATGGGGCAGCCAGATTCACTTAACAACCTTGTCACTAACTCAACAACTTCAGTGATTCACTTAACCTGTGGCAAACAAGGTCATCAAATTGGACAAAATTCACTTAACAAATGTCTCACTTAGCAACAGAGATAGCAGTAGGATTTAGACTTATATACCAGTTCAGTGTTTTACAGCCCTCTCTAAGCGGTTTTTGCAGAGTCAGCACCTTGCCCCCCAACAATCTGAGTCCTCATTTTATCGACCTCAGAAGGACGGAAGGCTAAGTCAACCTTGAGCCTGGTGAGAATCGAACTGATGAACTGCTGGCAGTCGGCAGTCAGCAGAAGTATCCTGAAGTACTGCATTCTAACCACTGCACCACCATGGCTCCAATGTTGGGCTCAATTGTGGTTATAAGTCAAGGACTACCTGTAATATACCATGTTTTCCTGAAAATAAGACCCTGTCTTATATTTTTTTTGCAACCAAAAAAGGCACCAGGTCTTATTTTCGGGGGATGTCATCCATTAACTAACCTCACTTGTGTGCGTCACCCCAGGCCTCCTTTTTGCCCTTACTTAGGGCTTATTTTGGGGGTAAGGCTTATATTGGGCATACGTGTAAAAATCAAGCTAGGACTTACTTTCAGGGTAGGTCGTATTTTCGGGGAAATAGGGTAAGAGCCATAAAGCACACATCTCAGCAAAGCACAGCACCTGGATGACCTTTTCTAAATTTGAAGTTAAGCAAGGTTGGACCTGATCAGGATTTGGATAGAATTCAACCAACAATTTTCAGGGCTGTGGGCTAGATGGGGCAATTAAAATGCATTCTGGAAGAAAGAATGGCAAATTATTTACATATTAAAGCTATAAAAATTACATTGATGTATTCGTGAGGTGAGAAAGAGTTGAGCCTGATTTGGAGGCATTTATTTAGCCAACATTCCCTCCCTCCTTCCCTATTTGGTTTTACTTAATCACAGAGAAACAAAACATGTTTATTCAATACTAGAAATTAACTTCTTTTTAAACAATTTCAGATTCTGAATAATAAGTCCATGAAAGTTATACAACTGGAAGGTCAACAATTTCTAGCTTCTTGTCCTTCAGTTTTTCTCACAGCTTGATTTCCAATTTATGAGATGGGCAGCTTTAAGCCTCAGTTTCAGAGAAGAATTCTAATTTTAAAGACATTATTTAACTGCCTTGGTTTTCACATCTTTTTATTCTGGTCATACCACCTTTTCTTTAAAAAATATTTTCCAGCAAACCTGGAAGCCTTAGGTGATCTCAACACAGAAGCAAAAGGTTGCCTGGAATTTCCCGGAGCTCATAGATAAGCAAATGAAATGGCTTTGATTCTTCTCCAAAAATCTTCCAGCAGAAGATTCTTTTCACTGCTCAGTTATCAGTCCCTGATTTATACCTTCATTCACATTCTGTAGAGCTTCTGTTCAGGGGTGGGGGAGGGGGGGCTGGATCACATCAATCTTAGAAGGTTCCTGTGATACCTAATGTTAAACCTTGAAAGAGTAGTAAATGGTGGAACAACCGCTTACTCCTTAACTGATTAAAACGTTTCAAGAGATTGAGAATCGAGATCAGGGGTGAAATCCAGCAGGTTCTGACAGGTTCTGGAGAACCGGTAGTGGAATTTTGAGTAGTTTGGAGAACTGGCAAATACTACCTCTGGCTAGCCCCAGAGTGGGGTGGGAATGGAGATTTTGCAAAATCCTTCCCCCAGGAGTGGGGAGGGAAGGTGGATTTTGCAGTATCCTTCCCCTGGAGTGGGGTGGGAATGGAGATTTTGCAATATCCTTCCTTGCCTCGCTCACCAAGCCACACCATGCCCACCAAGCCACACCCACAGAACCGGTAGTAAAAAAAAATTGGATTTCACCACTGATTGAGATGTAGTAAATTGCTTATAGTTTTTTCCCCCCAGTGTCTGAATAGAGAACTTCGTAATGGGACAGTTGCAATGCACAAGGTTACTTCTGAAAAGTTTTCAAAAATTCCAGCTACAACATTCAAACTATGGATTAGGGTAGGTGTTAGGAAAACACCTGCCCTAATCTCCTTGTTAGAGAAAAGTACTAGAGGTGACATGATAGCAGTTTTCCAGTATTTGAGAGGTTGCCACAAAGAAGAGGGGGTCAACTTATTTTCCAAAGCATCTGTAGGCAGGACAAGAAACAATGGATGGAAACTAATCAAGGAGAGAAGCAACCTGGAACTAAGGAGAAATTTCCTGGCAGTGAAAACAATTAACCAGTGAAACAGCTTGCCTTCAGAAGTTGCAGGTGCTTCATCACTGGAGATTTTTAAGAAGAGACTGGACAGCCACTTGTCTGAAATTGTATAGGGTTTCCTGCTTGAACAGGGGATTGGAGTAGAAGAGCCCTAAGGTCCGTTCCAGCTCTATTCTGATTGATTGATTGATTGGCATAATTCAAAGTGCTGGACTGTCAATGTAGGATGACCTTTGATGACAAAGGTTCCTTCCTCCCTCCCTCCCTCCCTCCCTCCCTCCCTCCCTCCCTGCCTCCCTCCCCCAATGCAGGAAGATCACTGTGATACAATGATACCTTCAGAATAAGCATGGAAAATGTTTCAGAATTGGGACTGCTTTTCTTTTGTATTTTAGGGTTGGATATGTGGAGGACAGAGGCATTTAATATTGAGATTTCCTGCCAATTTTTCTGTTGTTTTGTTTTCTGCTAAACAACAGCACAAAAAATATGCAACTATTTGTCAATAGCTTATTGCTATGCTTTCTTGAACAGCAGTGGATTTTTCTTAGAGTACCGGAAATGGTTAAGGCACCAGGATAGAAAGTGGGAGACTGTGAATTGCCTAGATACAAAGCTAGTTGGGTGACTTTAGGTCAATTGCTCCATCTCAGACCTAAGAAGAGGAAGGGAAAAATCACTTCCAAAATCTTGTCAAAACAAATGCAGTGCCTTGTCCAGGAAATTGCCACCTGTCCACACTGACTAAATGGCACAAACACCAATACAAAAGTGGAGTTTTCTTAATGGTTAACTCCAGGGGTGAAATTCACGTACCTTCTCTACCGGTTCACAAATGTGTGTGCAGAGGATGAAAAAAAGGGACGTCATGGTGTCTGCATGGATGGGCGGAGCTTCCGGCAGCCGCTTCTACCGGTTCGCCCAAGATGGATAGAACCAGCTGAATTTCACTCCTGGTTAACTCTTATTTAATAGGGGGGGGGGAAAACTGTGGAAGATTCAGTGGTTAATCCAACACCAATAACTACTTTGTTCCATAATTAGATCCCCAAGGAAGATTTTTCTAAATATAGCAGCCAGTCACCGAGCACCCCACTCTGGCTCTCCAAATATAATTAATAAGTATAGGAAGATGCAATTAACTGGCAGTAACCCTGATAATCTAGATCAATGGCTGGCAAATTCTTAATGAAGTGTTAAATTGGGTCTGTCTCCCTGTAGCACCAGCCTCCTGAAGGCTCTTTGGTGATAGATTTAGTCCCTCTCCTGCCCCAGACAGGGATAAGATTATTCAGGGAGACTGATGAGCCTGGCGTAGAAGCAGCCAGAAGGAAGACGGATGAATGGGCCATCTGGGCTAGTGGAATACCCCTATTCAAAATGGGACCCCTGTTCGCACATCAACCCAGGAGCAAACAAAATCACCGAGGTTTTCTTTTATTTACCATTCCATCCATTTCTATTTATATATTCAATTTCTAAGGCCATTGGCTCTCTAAATGATCCTGGGCAGCTTACAGAGAGTTCAAAACAAGAGATAGTGACAAATAGAAATATCACAACAGTAAAATAAGTCACCCCGGGGAAAGAGAAAGAGAGTCAAAATACACAACAGAGAGCAAATTCACACATCATCCCAGCCTAGTGCCTAAGGCAGCATTTCTCAACCTCGACAACTTTAAAATGCGGGAATATGGCTGGCTGGGGAATTCTGGGAGTTGAAGTCCATACATCTTCCAGCTGTCAGGGTTGAGAAACATTAGCCTAAGGGAAGAACAAGGCTCTCCTAAAGACAGCAGGATCGGGGCCCTTGGGATCTTGTTGTACCAAAAGGTACACACATTCACAGGGAAGCCATGCTGCATATTCCCGCTGATCAGGAATACACAATGCAAAATATTTTCTGTGTTGAATGCAAGAACACAGCATCAATTACTGCTTTGTAAACAGAAGCACAAAGAACTTTTTAACCATTCTGATATGGCCTCTCTTACATTCCAAACCCGGTGCCAGCATTCAGGACAGTTAGATAAATGTGAAGGGTTAGCCTCAGGATTATTGTTTTCAATTGTTACTAATGTTTCACAAAAGTCGAGATTACAAAATTCCTCAAGGAAGGGATAGAGATGAAGAAACACCATCCTGAAATATAAACTCAAAGGGTTTTAAAAGATTGCTCAATGCATCCCTGCATGTTCAGTTATATTCTACTTGATTAAACAAGG